GAACTAGAGGTGATCCCTCATTTTGACCATATAATACCACCTAAGAAGGATTTGCATATTAGAAATATTTATAGATACTTGCGAAATAACAATCTAATCATAACAAAGGCTGACAAAGTATTTTTGGGATAATGAAAACGAAGAGAAGTATGTTAGTTGACTGCTATACTATATACAACTTTACTTCATCGGCAGTACCACTCCATAGTGTGATATGAGAGGATGTCTGGCCTTTATTTATATTCACATCTTCCCCGTGGCCCAAGGACACTCGTGACAGGGTGTGTTGGAATGGTTACCATGTCGAGATTGTTATGGTTCGAGTCCCGCTGGGGGTGCAGATGAGACCAGTTCATTCGCGGTCGAACCAGTCTGGATGGGAGCAAATTCGGCCAGCAAAGTTCTATGAAATTTGATGAAACCGTCTGTCCTCTTGTTAAACGAAACCATGTAAACGCATCTCATGTCTTTTCTTGTACAGAAAATCGTCTACACTACAGTGCACTTTGAATCAAGCTACCGAGCAAGATGGCGCAAAGTACAATGCCAATTCAGTTTACTCCAACATCAGTCTTCAGGCCATCTTGCTTCGACGGTGTTGTCATTTGGAGAGACGTTCATTCAGTGCATAAGTGCATGTAAAAAAGATCGAAACTAAATCACTCCTAGTCTCCACGGTGTTGTGATCTACTGAAATGTGAGATGAGTAGTATCATGAGTAACGGTTGCAAATAGATTACCTTGCTGTTGGCCTCGGTGACGTCGCAGTCGGTGGCGACGATTTGGCCGACAAACTGGTTCACTTTTGCGTCTTCGCTCACGTAAAACTGGTAGATGCTTTGGTCGAAGGTCGGCTGGCAGTCGTTGACATCCTCCAAATGCAGCATCAACGTGGCGTTGGCCGAGTTGACGTGTGGTCCAAGTCGCGGCAGGCTGGCCACGAACTGCTCCATGAGTTGACGATAGGCTTCGGCGGAGGCCGTTCGAGCAGCCGCTCCAGTCGCCGTCGCCGTCGCCGTCGCCGTCGCCATGTCGTCTTCGGAGAGGCCGACTTCGGTCCAATTGACGCGATCGTAGACGTAGACGACAATGTCGAACCGGTCGCGCAGTTCGCGGTCGAAGCTGCGCAGACTGACGACGGCGCCGGTGCGCGGATGCACGGCGAAGTCGGCGGGCGTCGATTGGGCGAGGCCGGCGCCCGGCGACGCGGTCGTCTGGCCAAAGTCGAGGGCGAATCCGAGCGCGGCGTTGACGCCGACGTCGGCGTCGTGCGCCTGGACGGTGTAGACGAGGCTGCCGGGCGGCGAGTTCTCGCGCAGATGCGCGACCATGCCGCGTTGACGAAACACCGGCGGACTGTCGTTGACGTCGACGACGACGAGACGCAGCTGCACTTGCGTCGACTGTACCGGCCGGCCCGAGTCGTAGCAGACGAGGCTGGCCGAGTGCTCGGCCTGTTGCTCGCGGTCCAGCCGGTCTCGAGTGTACACACCGAACCGGCCTCGAGCCCGCTCGTACAACGGACGCAGCTGCAGGCCGGGATGGTTGATCTGGCACGTCAACTCGTCGCCCACGCCGCCCAACGGCGACGCCAACGCCGACGCCGACGCCGACGGCGAGAGCGGTTTGGCGGCGTTTTCGTCGCCCCCCGACGACGCGGGATAGTTGCGTTCGGCCGGTTGATCGGCGTCGGTGACGAGCACCGACGCGATGAGCGTGTCGGCGGCCGCGTGTTCGGCCACTCGCAACGTGACGACCGTCGGCGTGGAAACGCTCGAGGCCGGACGCGCCGGAGTCGCCTCGACGACGGCGTCGGGCGGGAAGATCTGCGCGACCGGCTGCACCGTGACGCTGGGCGCGTGGTCGTTGAGGTTGAGGATGCGCACGAGCACCAACTGGCCGGCTTGATGCTTGCGATCGGACACGGTGATGGGCAACGCGAACTCGCTCTGCTCCTCGAAGTCGGGCGCCTGGCGAAGGTAGACCTCGCCGTTGGCTCGACGCACTCCGAAGACGCGCCGCGCCGGACCCGCGGCCGAGCTCGACAAGCCGAACTCGAGCCGGTCGCGGTCCGACACGTCGGCGTCGTGCACCTCGGGCCGGTACACCACTTTGCCGGCCGGCGTGTTCTCCGCCACGTACACGATCACGGCTCCCGATCCCAATCCTGATCCGGATCCCGATCCCGATCCGGATCCGGATGCGGATCCGGGCGACTTGGGCGTCAGGAAGACGGGCGCCTGGTCGTTGACGTCGACGAGAGTGACGTTGACCAACACGCTGCCGGTGCGCGGCGTCGGGCGTCCCGCGTCGACGCCGACCAGTCGCAACGTCAACTGGCGAGCCCCGCCGGACTCGTGGTCGAGGTCGCGGGTCACGCGCAACCACAACTTGAAGACGCGCCGTCGCCACACAGACAGACCGCCGGCGCCGCGCACGCTGAACGGCCACGCCAACTCGTCGACTCTGTCGCCATTCGCCGTCGCCGTCGCCGTCGGCGTCGGCGTCGGCGTCGGCGTGACCACTTCCGTGTCCAATTGGAAGGCGTGCAGGCCCAAACCGTCCGGCGACTCGAGCCCAACGCCGACGCCGACGTCGACGTCGCCGTAGCCGTAGCCGTGTGTGTGTGTGTGTGTGTGTGCGTCGAGCAGAAAGTAGCGCACCGTCGTGTTCTCGGGGCCCCAGTCGGCGTCGAAGGCCGGCTCGAGCGCGAAGCGAGTCCCGATGGGCGTGTGCTCGGCCACCTCGACGCCCAACACCTCCTCCGACCAACTGGGCGCGTTGTCGTTCACGTCGACGATGTAGACGTCGAGCAACAGGATCTCCTGTCGCGCCGACCCTTGACCGCCTCTCGCCTCGCCCATCGCCACGTCCATCGCTGCTCCTCCGGCCGGCTCGGCCACGGCCGCGGCCGCAACCGCGTCGCCGAGTCTGGGCGCCGCTTGCAGCAGCACCTGCAGCGAGACGCGACAACCGGTCTCCGAGGCCGGGTACAGACTGTCCTCGTCGCCGGCCAGCTCGTCGGCGCCGAACAGAATGGGCGACATGTTGGCGTCGTCCGGACAGACGGCTTCGCGGTCGATCCGGCCGCGCGTGTACAGATCGCCGGTCGTCAAGTCGAGCCGGAACAACGCACTCACCGACAACAGTTGGTAGGTGATGGTCAGGCCTGACGAGCCGGCGACAGAGTCGGCCGTCGCCATGGCCACGGCAACAGAGTCGAAGAGACCGGGGGCGCCGGAGAGGTCGTTGGCGAGTCCGGCGGCGTCGAGTCGGCCCAACAGACTAGAGAGTCGACCGACCAAAGTGCCGTTTTGGCACTCTTCGGTGAGTCGGAAGTGGGCGCGAGGCTGTCCGACGAGGCCGGGAGGGAGCAGGAGCATGAGGAAGAGAAGCAGAAGGAAGAGGCAGCAGAACATGTCGAAAGCGGACGAGTGGAAGAGATGAGACGCA